CCTGGATCAAGTTCCCAATCTCTCCACCATCCGATTCGAATTGGACATCAGCCTGCTCGTATACCAACCCCTAGCAACTCGAAACCAAGGAATATACAGTCGATGATCTCAAAGATGTGATCTACTCCCGTTTGGGACAGCAACGCACCGCATTTTGGATGGCCCTGCCCTCAACCGGAGACTCTCGTGTATGGGAAGTCCCGCACACCTGCACACTTGAAGACCTTGTGCTCTACTATGTCAACTCCCGAAGGATTCGCCGTCTTGGTATCGCCAATGAGTTCCCACGAGATTCTACTCCTTTTCCCTACCGACCTCTACATACCGTCGCCTCCCGTCTACATGATGATGCCATTTGCCAACTCCGACTACCTCTCACAGCGTATCAGACCTATCGTGAGATTCGCCAATTTAACTAGTCTCACCCAACCTTCCGGCTTGGCGCTTAAAATTTGCCTCCCTTCGGGGAGGCGTGTGTGTGTGCCCCTTGTAGTCACAGGGATCCTGTCGGATTGTACCATTTTTCTCTTTTTTCAGCAGCACTTGTGCTGGAAGCAGAGCCTGATCAGCTCTGTGTACCTGCTTGAATTTTAAGATTTTGGTAATGGGCTAATGCATTGGCAGACACGAGCGGCCCGCCGTCATCCTGTTCGGCCCGTGATCGTCGTTTGATTTCTTCCGCTTTGGGCCACTTCTCCGTTTCAGGACCCCGAGGTTCCAGTGGTTTCCTACTTGTACTCTTAGGAAATGGTACCCTAGGCCGGCGTGTGGCACCGCTGTCAAGTCAGTACGCATATCCATAAGTGTGTGCGTGTTGTGAACGCCTTGAAGTCACAGGGAATCCGTTGATTTGATCATGCTTTTTAAGCAGGGGGCAATCCCACATTGCAGTCGATTGCCCAACGAAGAGGGCTGCAATTGTGGCTGATATCCGGACGTGCCTGCATGGTTGTGGCGTTTGTAACTAGCTCCCAATCTAACCTTCAGGCTGCTTAGGTGGAGGTAGGTCGGCAGACTCTGCACGCTTTCGTCGCCCTTGTCGACCGCTCGGCCGTCGACCTTTAATCCCGGTACTCTTAGGCGTTCATACCTAGGTGGGCGTGTGGCATGTGGCGCTCGATGTCAGTACGCAATATCTCGAGTGTGTCTCCCCTTCGTGGGAGCCGCGGGTGAGCCCAAAGAGTGGCCCTGTGGCTTTGCTGAGCAAGGGTTTGTCTAATTTCCTTCTGCCCGGGAAAGGGGTGTCCGAAGCGGACAGAAGGAGCCTTAGCGCAAACGTTTGCTCAGATTTGATGAATTACAGGAAAACGAGTAGGCAGCCTCCGGGCAAGCCACAACGTGCCCACAGCGCACTCAAGTCGCCCGCCAATTTGGCATGGCACAAGGTGGCCGAAGCGGCCCGAGCTTTTTTAGATTCAGTGAATTCTGTCGGAGCCTTTGGTGCACACACAATATGTACAGATGTACATAAGCCAGGCTACTTCCACCTAGGTTTGTTCTAATGAGGCCTGGCTTCATTTGTGGCTCCCCCCCCACACACTTTCTCCCTCCTTTTTCTTTTCATGTCCTTCCTGGCTTCATGTTTCGTCAGACCATCCTTTTTCTCTTTTGCGCACACTCTGGTCCGACTCTTAGTGCACACGTGCACCCGTACACGAAACCCAGGTCTGAGGTCGCCCAGGTTGTTATAAGGAGGTTTGGTTTATTTTGTTGTTCCTGGTCACTTAGTTTCTTTTCGCTACAACCACACACTGTCCTGTCCTGTCTTCCTCTCATGTCTTCATCCTTCTGTCCTTTCCGCGCGCACACCTACAAGTTTTGGCCCTAGGTTTAAGTTTTGGCCCCCCCTCCACGGAGGGCGTGCGTGTGAAACCCTTGGAGTCACAGGGAATCCGTTGATTTGATAATGTTTTTTTAAGCAGGGGACAATCCCAAATATCCCAACTGTGGCTGATATCCGGACGTGCCTGCATGGTTGTGGCGTTTGCAACTACCTCCCACTCCAACCTTCAGGCTGCTTAGGTGGAGGTAGGTCAGCAGCATGTGGCATTCGATGTCAGTACGCAATATCTCGAGTGTGTGCACAGGAGGGATTTACAAATGTCCAGTTGCCTTCACATTGGATGGTTCCCGGCCTTTGGTGCTTGGAGGCACCCCTGGCCCCTAGCCAGTTTAGTTTTAACATGATTGTCTAAGGGCACGCGGCACATATGGAACCTTCCACAAGTCTGACTAGGAATTCAGCTGTTTTGTTGCCACTTGGGACTTGTAGGATGGAGAGCGTATCTGCAATTTGGCTGAAAAGGAGTCAGCTACCTTGATTTAGCCAGGTAGCCCATGCCCCCGGCTCAGCCATAGCCATAGTTGCCAACAAATCATGCCGGGAATGCTTTTTACTCCTCTTTTGTCCAGGCTCGGTACATTGATCCTTTGTGATATTTGCGCGAATGCCGGACGTGTCAGCCGTTTTGAAACTAGTTGCAAACAGAAGGGCGTCTACCCTCCGCGAGGTTTGTTTGTATGTGCGCTGGATATGGGGCACCAGCTGAAACTCCGGCTGACAAGCAAGGGTCAGCAAAGAGAGCCTTCGGCCTGTTTAGAAACACTTCAAGTTTTAAAAAAAGGAAGAAAGAAAGAGTAGTGAAACTGTTGCTTCAAAGTGAAGAGTGAAGAGGTGCTTCAAAGGATGCTTCAAAGTCAAGAGTCTCCTTAGGTGTCTCCGATTCGAAGGCACCGACTTTGCTTCAAAAGCAAAACCGCCGAGAGGCGAACTCGGGAAAGAGGTTGAAATTGGAAATACCTTTTCTTGGATATGATTTGCCTTAAAAAGAAAATAGTACTACAGGTGAAATGATTCCCAACGAAGTTTCTAGTTACTAGAAAGTGTTATTGTTACTAAGAAGTTTCAAAGACATATACTAAAAGCATCTAAAAGCAGTAATTGTCATCCCTCCAAGTGCTTCACAACGAGTCTGCAAAGTCTGCCACAGGTCCATATCGACAAGACTACGACAGTTCCACTCGAGTTGTACTGGGAGCTGATCCGAGCTGGAGAACGAGCCAAGGAAAGAGGGCAACACCGGCTGACCAAGGCACCCAGTCACGGTCAAAAAAATCCCAGAGGGCAATTTGTTCGCATGTTGGCCGATTCTTGATGTTGGATTTGCAATGCTTGAACGCATTCGTATCAATGCACCCTGTTGCTTGCAGGGCAGCCGGCACGTTGGTATGCACCTCATAATGAGCAACTGAGGGGTGTTTGGGCCTTCGGGAGCTTTGGCAATCCACAGATGGGCTATATAAGGGCCAGGGCATGGATCCTCACGCTGCAATAACTTGGTCCGACCCTGCCAAGCAACGCAGCTGGGTACCTGTCAGCCGAGATGGCGCTACTCACATTGGAAGATCAAAATTAATCTCATTGTGGTTGCGTTTTGAGAATGACAGCAAAAGAAAATATCTTCCAATAAGAGGGCAGGTAGAGTGATGCTGTTCCATGCGGATCGTTCGATCCAGATAGTCCAGGGTTTGAGATGCACTATATACTGAATATGAATTCAGAGTTTGGTATTGGGATGTTCCCCTTTTCTCCATCTTGTATCCTGGCTTAAGAGACTCTTTTCACAGGGGGCAGAGGCTTCAAGGAAAAACATGTGGCACGTGTATTTGAAGATAGAAAAAAAAGAGAGTGCCTCCTTAGAGTCTCTCAAATCGACGCAATCAAGCCGTCGGAAATATGAGTTCTTTTCTCTTTGTGCTTGGTTCTGACGTCACATTTCAGTGCGCATGCTGTTTCGATTGCGGCGCGTCTCACCCAATTGAATGTTTGTTTGGCCTCCTTGATAACCACTAGTGAGAGTTGTTGTCCCCGGTGCTTTGTTCGTGAGAACTCTTAGATGGAGAGAGGCCAGAGTGCAAGACACCCAGGCTCAAAGGCTTGAGCGTTGCGTTGCGGAGTTGCGTCAGCAGCTGGAGAATCCAAGCGAGAGAGCCAGAGAGGCTCAGACAGGCGGGGACCCCACTGTGAGGTTTGTCCGTCAAGCTGACGCAGAAAAAGAAAGGGCCAAGCTTGGCAGTGCATTGGGCGACTGCACCAGGACGCATGGAACTACTGTACCGAATACGCAGCGGATAGCAGGAACAAACCAGCAAATCAGCCTTACATCCTCAAATCACTGGCCGGAGAATGTGCTTTACATATCTTTACATTCTATTTTAATTAAGTTCTCTCCATTTTCCCAACTCTGTGGTTTGACTGTAAGACTCTTTGCACCGCTGTTTAGCATCAGCGGTGAGCTTGGACGTTCTGTGTCAGTAGTATATGATATTGAAAGCAAATCACACGTTATTAAACAAAGCAAAAAACATTACTGTAAGTTGATGCAACCAAGACAGCCTATTGGTTTGTGTTTCTTATGTTGAGAGTCCAAGAGGAGAACCGTAGTACTTTCTACATGCTACCGGAGTTATGTATTTCTTTGTCTTCACCCATTGAAGGTGTTCATGAAGGCTGCACTGCCATGACCGCAGCTGCCTGCTATGATCGCCCGATTTCACAGGTGCGGCGCTCGCATGTTCCTTCTTTGGCCAGTTCGTTCCAAACCCTGGGGTTTCGGCAGCTTATTTGGCCTAGATGGCTGAGGCAATGTAGAGCAAACCTGAATTGCTGTGTTTGTTGCATAACGCGCAAAAGGGTCGATACAGGGTCAGCCAGTGCTAAAACATCGATTGGTACTGAATCCAATTGTTTAATCTCTTTTCCAGGAGCAGTTGAGCCCAAATTGTTGGCACAAAACGCGTCCGATGCGCAAACGCTACGCGGAGTGGCAGAGTTTGGATCACTGCGAAGACATTTGCTCTCCTGCCCAGTGCCTCGGTTCAGTGACTGGACGCTGCCTGTGATGGAAGTCAAGGAGGAAGATGCGCTACGATGCCAAAATCAACCCAAGACTTGCTAAAGGCAGCTCACAGCTGCTTGGTGGACTGAACATCAGGTGCTAGCCTGATGACAGTTGGCTACTCTACAAAGTGATACAAGGCATTACAAGGTCGCATCAGGGCGTTAGGGTGGTGGTAGGATCAGGGCCAGCTCAGTCTGCACCGGGCAGATACGCTTTCTGTGATGTGTTCAATGTCCTTCAATTGTTTGGCAATTGTTTTTCTGCTGGATCACTAAAGGCAATCCCGGCTTCGTACTGCAATGTTTGCAAGCAGATAGGCATGACCAAGCTGCCAGTGAGATGTTGACAACAAGTTTTGCAAGCTTCTTCAGGACACCATCCGGAGGCCTTCACCGTCAAAGCCTCCGCTGCACAGACCTGAGTTTTTTTGGTCACATAGAAGTATTTTTGCACTGTACCCATCCGTTCAACATGGATGTGGAAGTTCGCAATCTCTATTTTTCATTTTCACAGTTCCGATGTTGCCGCATTTAGGGTGACTCTATTGAAATTACAAGAGCTCGTTGTGTGTTTTGAGTTTTGATTGTGCTCTTATTGTTTGCAGAGTTTGGTTGCTTGTGTTTGGAAGTGTTTCGTCAATTGTGTAAACTATAAATACAACATTGCTCCTTTACGCAATTTCCTCCTTGCTCATGCTTGAAAAATCATCTCTTTTGCAAGCATACGATATCCTTTATCAAGCACTTCTCTCTCTCTCTCTCTCTGAAAGCAAAAAACTGTCTTAGTCTCATTTGTAAGTGTTTGATGCTTGATTCCATGTTTTCAATCTATGCGGTATGTGAATGCACAACAAACCGTTGAGCCAGCAACTGATGCGCGCTCTTTTAGCAAACCGCCGGGGCTTGAGTGTTGAGTGTAGCTATGAATTCCGGACCTGCAGAATGACTGGAAATTGCACTGGTGAGAATGAAAAATAAATCAGACAGAAAGACTAACCATCCACGCGTTTTGTCCCTTTAGCTTTTCTTATGCGTGCCGACTTCATCTTCTCGTCGTACACGACTCTCCATTTCGGACCATTTGCACGTGTGAGTGGGCTTGACCTTTCTCTGACGGCTTTGTTAAAAAATTGCCTAGTTGGACACTTGAATGGACCCACAGGATCATTGTTCCTACATGTTCCTACATTTATTGAAGGGTTCTAAGCAGATCGCCCCTTTTCGCCTTTGATGGTAGGAGTGTATTTGTCCATGTGATCATACAGGTTGATGCTGTTTATCACTACAAGTCTTGGGAAAAGCATTGTAATTTTGGTTGCCACAAGTTCTCCAGAAGGTTTGGGCATGGTTCATTTCGGACCACAAGTACCTCATGCGGTAAAGTTCATCCTTCGCGTTCACAGCTGCATGTGAGCTGATGTGCCTTTGCGCAAGCTGGGGATCTGCAAGCGCAAGCTGTCCGGCTGATCTTTCCCAAGCGCCACGACGGGAGTGCCACATTCGAGAGACTTCTTCTCTTTAGGGGGGGGTAGGCCGCTAAGAGGAAGAGCTAGAGGTAGCTAGTAGCATGGACGCAGGATAGCTCACGCTTCTTCAAGGAAGCTTCCCTCACCGCCTTGAAGGCGGCGGAGGGAGCTTCCTTGAAGAAGCGCTCGCACTATTCATTTGGCTCCTAGATTGTTAGGGAAACTTAGGTATATTACTGTAGACCGTTTGGTGCTGTTGATTTGATCCGGGGTGAGGCAGCATCACCGCAGGCAACTAGGACAACATGTTCAGGGATGTATCTGCAGTCTTTTCAGAAGTCCAGCCAATTGCATCAGAGGCATGAGCATGTTGACACCGGTCAGTCCCCTCGCCTTGATGTCTCAGGAATTCCTTTTGCCAAGTGATCAAAGATCACACGTGCTACCGTGTTTTGCGTGCGCCGCCATAAGTTGGTGGACGAACTTGCCCGCAACTTGGGCACTACGTGTGCTGGAAAACTAGTGAGCTTCAGAGCGAGCTTTGTTTTGGACTTCGTGGACACCGACCCTCTTTGTTTGCTCTTTTTTTGCGCTGCCAGTATCACACTGATACGGGTAGCGGAGCTACCTCTTTGCTCCGTTGCCCCTGAGAGACTTTGAGCGGAAGGGGCTTTGCACGAGTCTTGAGGAGATCCAGGGCAAGGTTGTGGACTGGCTGCACTACGTTGGGTGTTTCATTGCACGAGTCATTGAGATCCCCGATTGCAAGTTCTTGGCGTCGGATTTCCTAGCACTACTTACTTCCTAGAGGAGGCCTACTTTGCGCTTTGTTCCTAGCTGCTTGGCCTCGTGCTTCACTACCCCTTTGCCTTTGATTTGACCTGTGTGCCTATGAGAAGACCAGGAAACGGCGCTGACCTCAACTTGGCCCTGAATTGGTGTCACAGCTATCTGGGAGAGCCTGGATAGTCATTCAAGAGATCGACCACAGACTCTTGACCTGGTGTCACCAGGTCAGAGAGGCTACAGGAAGCTGCAGCGCGCTCTTCGCCGCGCCCAACGAGACCTACCTGAACAAAAGGATGATGGCGCGGCGCCTTCACACACTCCTTTGAGGGCACGATCTGGCCCAGAGCCCGCAGCCGAAGATGAGACTGATGGTGAACCTGAACAAGACAATGAACCTGTGAGGACTCCGTCACTTCATCACCCAAGAGCCGTGGCAAAGGAAAAGACACTGGCAAAGCCAAAGACTTTGGCTCACCCTCTCGAGGCTCACGAGGCTCGAGAGGACTTCTCAACTTTGCGGGATGATCTTGATCTTGGACTACCAGACACCAAGAGCCAAGGAACAAGGCTCAAAGAACTTGTACTTCTGGGGGCGTCCGGCCACAGGCTGATTTCAACTTGACTTCACATTGCTGCAGGGCTTACATAAGGACACCGACCACGGAAGAGTAGCGGATGGCGACTCGTTGCTGGCAAGTGTTGTTCTGCATCGTCTGTTTCTCCTGGCAACTGTCATCGGCACTCAAGCCCTGCACTGCCACCATCTGTTTCTCCTCGTAGCTTTCAGCGGCGCTCAAGCCCTGCGCTACCATTTATCCTGTCATCGGCAGTCAAGCCCTGCGCTATACATTTGTTTCTCTTGGTAGCTGTCATCGGCACTCAGCCCTGCACTACCAGTACCAGTGGCTCCCGGCAGCTGTCATCGGCCTCCTCAAGCCCTTCACGGCCAGCGCCCTTGTCATAGCACTTTGCTCATCATTGCCGCCCAGGTATTCCTCCATGGTCTTGTGAAGGCTATCCTCAAGCGAAAGTTGACCAAAAGGCTCGCACACTGGAACAACTGATCCAACGCACATCGCCTCCATTCTGTGGCGCATCACTTTGGGGCCGCAGCTTACTTCGGAGGTAGAAGGCATGTTTATGCCGCGCTCGTTTTCAAGCGCTGGGGCACATCAAATTACCGCTGCTGCGCAGCAGTTTTTGGGCCCTGTCCCGCCTTCCTTGAGCCAATGGCTACGGCTATTTAACCGCCGCTGGCGTGTTCCGCCGGCTTTCCAGGCGGCCATGTACTTTGTGCCTTTGGGTTGCATGTACTTTGGCCATGTACTGATTGTTGCAAGTTCTAGTTCTAGGCGCGGATCTTTGGCCTCCTCCCCCCCCGGTTGGCAGGTTTCGTGACAGTCTTCGGAGAAAGATACAGATCAGACAATATAACATAGGAGAGGGGATACAATGTATAATATAATATAACATAGTAGAGAGGAGGGGGGGAGGGGGGGGGTGAGCAAAAATCCGCGCGTAGGGGAAAGACTTACAACACAACAGCAACAGGAACATCCACAGAACACGCCGGCTACAGCCGGCGGATTTTCAAAAACAAACAATGAAAACCAAAGAGTTTGATACGCTGCGATACCAGCAGGGTGGTGCTCCACCCATATGATGCACGCTGCATGCTGCGCCTGTGGCTGTGTCACTGAACCTTCAGGGATATCTAGCCTTGCATATTCCCGAGTCGGCGGTACGAGCATCTTGCAAAAATATGGCTGATGACACGTCACCCCTAAGTGCTTTGCGCAGAGAGGCAGCTGTCGGCCTGAACGAGACAATGTGGAAGAGGAGGTTTGATGAGGTTTGTTTGCATTCATAGTTCTTGTCTTGGTAGCCGATTACCAAGTCAGAATCCACCTCATTCCAACCGAATTCGTTGTATTTTGAAGCTCTGGTGGAAGCACCTTGAAGCAATGGGGCTGAATGTAGTTCCGCGCCACTTTCCCTTTTGCCTCATCAAACTCCTTGAGTTCTGGATCTGTCAGTGTCCGCTCCCGAACCTCAACGTGGGACTGTTTCAGTTGACTCACAAATGCCTCGAGGTTGGCACCGTGTTTTTGGAAGCCTTGCCTCAACGTTCAACGCTTGGTGTTCAAGGCTTGTTCAATATCTCAAAAACAGTCAAATCTTTTTCGTTCGCTTTGGCATAGTGGCTGTGATGGCGGGGTCTGACATCTCTGCGCCGGGCTGACTTGGCACTGGTGGCATCTCCACATTGGAGCCGCTTGCGTCCAATCAATCGAGGTTGGGATGGTCAATCGTTTTGTAGCGGTTGTCCTCCAGCCTGTCACTTGCCGTCTACCTGTAGGATGTTCAGAAGTTTCTTGCCATTGAAGGTTTGTTCGGACCTTGAGGTTATGTAGATCTCTGCGGATGGCTAGCCAAGGTGGTAATAGCCCAAAGAATTTCACAAGAACCCTCAAGCTCCGCAATAGCCTGGACGTGGTTCTCAACTGCTTGGACGCTGGGCTGGACAACCAATCTGATTGTCCCGACTGTTGCAAGCCCAAGTTGCCGGAGTAAACTTACAGCTCCGTCATCCCCATCTCTGGGAAGTCTTCAATGAGCTTCTGCCGGGGTCAGTGAAAGGATGATCCTACGGTCCCATGCTCTTCACAATACTCAGCAGCGCCGTCACTTCTCCACACGCCCTCTGGGTCCACGCGAATTTTTTCAGGCTCTCCACAAACGGACGCCCGGACTCCTCAAAAATCTTTCAAACAATGGGCCAGGTTGCCTAGTTCATGCTATTCTCAAAGGTGATTCGTCCAACCCTGAAGCGGGAGCCTTCATCCATGAAATGAATCATGAAAAAGCATCACAGCACCTTCTGGAGATGACACCAAAAGCCCAAATCACATTGAACATTCTGTCATTTCATTGCCAAAGTGTCGCCGGACAGTGAGGCGCAGTCCTCTTCCAGTCTTCGCACACAGGCCATTGAAACCGGGGCCACAGCGAGAACATTCTCTGGACGCGACGGCATTTCAGAGACTTGAGAAGTGTGCTCGATGACCCATGTCCAGTATAACTATAACAGTGTGTCGAATGTCGCTGGTTCCTACAACCCTTTGTAGACTACAGCAGACACTTCTCCTATTCCCCTCTAGCATTTCAGTTTCCCTTTCTGACATGTTCGTGTGTGTGAACCCCTTGGAGTCACAGGGATTCCTTGGATTTGTTTTAGCAGGGGGGTGGAGCAGGCCTGCAGAGCTCCACTTAACAAAGCTCTCTGCAATGCCCTGCGGATATCACTGGAGACGTGTCCAGTCAGGTACCTGCGTTTTGACTTTTATTACCTCATTGGTCCCTGCTTGTAATGAGAAGAATCTTCCAGCCAGCCATTGCAGCGGTTCACCATTGGCAGTCAAGCGCTCGCCGGTCGATTTCTTGCCGATCTTTTCGTGTTCGTGATTTTTGGTGTGACGACCTTCCGATTCTCTTAGGCTTTCAAACCTAGGTGGGCGTCTGGCATGTGGCATTCAGTTCAGTACGCATTTTCTAGGCCCTAAGTGTGTCTCTCCTTAGTGAGGGCCCAGGGTGTACCCGAGGAGTGTCCCCTGTGACCCCGTCAAACGGGGGTTTGCCCAACGTTTCCATTGCCCGGAAACACTGCAGCTTGCAGCGAGCGTAGGAGGCGCCAAAGTTATTTGCCAAGACTTGCTGAATTATTGAATTTGAGTAGGCAGCTTTCGAGCAAGCCATTAGGTGACCGCAGCGGTCTTGAGTATAGGCAGCCTTCGGGCACGCCGCCACATGGCCGCAGCGACCAAAGCTTTTCAAGGTCCACTGGGACCTGCTGGGTCTTCCTAGGTTCTTTAACCAGGTTTGGTGTCGTTGGTTTCCGCTTTCATCCTTTCTTCCCTCTAACTTTACATACGTTCTTCTCCTCTTTCTTTTCATGTCCTCATCCTTTCTCTATTTGCGCGCACATTGGTCTGGCCCTTAGCGTACACGTGCACTCGTACACTAAATCCAGGTTTGAGGTCGCCCAGGTTGTTTGATGAGGTCTGGCTCATCTGGTTGTTCCTGGTCACTTGGCTCCTTTTCATCGCAGTCACATACACTGTCCTGTCTCGTCTTCCTCTCATGTCTTCATCTGTCTGTCTTCCGCGCGCGCACACCTACACCTTAGTCTGACCCCTAGCCCTAGCTTTTGCCCCCGTGTGTGTGTGTGCCCCTTGTAGTCGCAGGGATTCTTTTGAATTGTCTTTTAGCAGGGGGACTGCCTGTCTTGTAACAGTGGCGGTCCAACGAAGTGGCTGTTACGAGTCACTGATATGGATTCTGGACGCAGAATCCACGTACCTGCTTGGTTATGGCGTTTGCAAGCTGCGATCCTCATTTTCCATAAAGGGCTAGTGCACTCTGCAGACAAGAGCGGCCGTCAACTCGACCTGCTCGTCGTATCGCGGAGTTGAACTTTTGGCCTTTAACTAAAGGCGCTCAGGCCTCCTTACCTGGTTGTTCAGGATTCTGGTCTCTTAGGTTGCCGTGTGGCGAGTGGCATTCACACCAGTACGCATAATCTTGGGTGTGTCTGGCTTCATGCCAGGCCGGGGTGAGCCCGCATAGTGCCCCCCGTGGGCCCGTCGAACGGGGGTTTGTCTTCACCCCTGCGCCCGGACCAGAGCAGCTTGCAGCGAGCGTAGGTGGCCCAGGCCGCAAGCCCGAGAATTTTTGTCTTATTTTTGGAATTCCAAGCTGGCTCATGGCCTTACGTGACCGCAGCGGTCAAAGCTTGGCAGCCTTCGGGCAAGCCGTACGTGGTCGCAGCGACCCAAGCTTGCTCAAGGTTATTGGAACCTGTCGGGGCCTTAACTCCCTTCCTCCCCCTACCCTTCCCCTCTTCCCTCTTTGCCTTTTGGGGTGTTCCCGAATGTAACACTCAGGTCCACTGGACGCTTGCTGGGAACACCTGCCTTCTTCCTTCTCTCTCCTCCTCTTTCCTTCTTCGTCTCTCTCTCTCTCTCTCTCTCCTTTCTTTCCCTTCCTTCTTGCTTGGGTGTCCCTGGATGCTTTCGTCATAGCTGGGAGCCCTTTTCTTCCTCTCTTGGTGTGTCCTTGGACGCTTGTGTCGTAGCTGGGAACACCGTCGTTTTCTCCTTCTTTTCTCCTTTCTCTCCCCACCCCTCCCTCCCTCGTGCACAGTGTACCTACACTCAAACGAGGTCTTTGCAACAGGTTCTCAATGAGGTTTGGCTTTCATCGGTTTGTGTCTCCTTCATGTGGTTTCCCGTTTTTCATCGTGTTTCCCGTTCACACACCTTTTTCTCCTCTTTTCTTTCATGTCCTCCTGTCTTCACGTCTGGTCATCTCAGTCTTTCTTTCGTTTGCATGCACATGGGTTCCGGCCTTAGTGTGTACGTGCGCAACCTACTTCAACTTAGGTTTCAGGTCGCCCAGGTCTTTACAATGAGGTGGTGTTTCATCGGTTGTCCCTGTGCACTTGGTTTCCCTTTCATCGCAACCACACACACACACACACCTTTGTCCGTCCTGTTCTCTTTTCATGTCTTCGCTCGTTTGTCTTACTGCGCACACACGTACACAATCGCCTAGACCTTAGAATTTCTCGTGTGTGTGTGTGTGCCCCTTGTAGTCAGAGGGATTCTTTTGAATTGTAACAGTGGCAGTCCAACGAAGAGGCTGTTACGAGTCACGGATATGGATTCTGGACGCAGAATCCACGTACCTGCTTGGTTATGGCGTTTGCAAGCTGTGACCCTCATTTTCCATAAAGGGCTAGTGCACTCTGCAGACAAGAGCGGCCGCCGTCAACTCGACCTGTTCGTCATATTGCGGAGTTGAACTTTTGGCCTTTAACTAAAGGCGCTCAGGCCTCCTTACCTGGTTGTTCAGGATTCTGGTCTCTTAGGTTGCCGTGTGGCGAGCGCATAATCTTGAGTGTGAACCCCTTGGAGTCACACGGAGTCATTTGAATTTGCTTTAGCAGCTGAGGATATCACTGGAGACGTCCAGTCACGTACCTGCGTTATGATTTTTATTACCTCATTGGTCCCTGCTTGTAATTAGAACAATCTTCCAGCCAGCCATTGCAGCGGTTCACCATTGGCAGTCAAGCGCTCGCCGGTCGATTTCTTGCCGATCTTTTCGTGTTCGTGACTTTTGATGTGAAGACTCTCAGATGTATGGTCAAACTGTCTTACATACCTTTAACCTGACCTCTTAGGCGTTCAAACCTAGGTGGGCGTGTGGCATGTGGCATTCAGTTCAGTACGCATTTCCTAAGTGTGCGTGCGTACACCCTGGATTCACGATAGCTGAGATCTAGTTGCAGGGGGCGCGCGGCAATTACACAAGCGCATGCTAGCGAACCTTTTTGTAATCGTGGAAGCCGGAACTCATCACTCCGATGTACCTGCTTGGCTTTGACTTGGCACTACCTTGCACTACCCATTTGGTCCAGCGGTCGCGGTAACAGCTGACCTGACCAGCTATTGCATGGGTTGTGCTCTCTGCAGACTTGCACTCGCCGTTTGCTCGGGTCCTGGAGCTGGATGTTTGGAGCCTTGTTCGTGAAGATGGTTGCACTCACTGCATATGCATGTATATACCTAATCTTACTTGGGCCATTTCTTTTTATGTAGGCCTTTGCGGTATCTCGCGACCATGTCGTACGTGTTTATTTCTTGAGTATAAGTATGTGTTTGCAAGCGGTGTGCAGTTGTGCACGCAGCAAGTCAAAAACCAACCGTGAAGATGGTGCTCGCCAACCCCTGCGGGGGAACCGCCGCCGCGCCTTCCCCCATTGATGCCAATCCACAAACCTGTTGCCCATTCGAAACTCAAAGGCCCATTTTAGTGCGCGCCTCAAAGCCAGGCTGCGGCCTCAGTTTTACTAGCCTGCTCGTGTTCGCAGGATGTACAATGTATCTAATTGCCTAAATATGTATATATCATATCTATATATATATATATGATGTTCGTTTTCCTTGTTTTGTTTTATTTGAACTTGTCCCATGTCATTTGAAATCTGTATGTTTTGCATGTCCCGTGACAAGTTGGAGCTAAAGCGGGCAATTGTAGTGTTCCAGCCACTTCTATGCCGAGGCGAGCAGCGCTTGGTTCCTTTGTCCTTGGCCGAACACAGTGACCGCAGTGCTCCGCTGGACCATGTCACTGCAACAGTGGCCACATTGCACTATATTGCACCCGATTCAAACTTGCAGGACATAGCTTTGAGTTGGGAGCAGCCGGTTGATCCCATTGCGTTCACTGAGTCATTGGCAAAGGCACAAGAACACCGTCATACAAATTACAGAGCCCACTTCACGATTTGGGATGTTGGTTTAATGGAGGGTCAGGCCCGAGCAGTGCTAATGGGAAGAATTGAGCAGAACTGCCTTTCAACTGGGAGGCCTTGAGTCTATTTCCTTGCTGTGCTGGCCGTTTTGTCACCCGCGAAGTGGTGCGCCTTTTAGAGTCAGGAAAAGAAGTAGAAGGGAGTGCATCGTGGCACCTGTCTATTTGGGAGTGGGTTTGCGATGCGAGTTGTACCAAGTCTGTGGAGCAAGCTGCCGGGGTTGGGCACCCACTGGCAACGCAAGAGAGTTCTGTTTCAGAGAGAGAGAGAGAGAGAGAGTGAGTGTGTGTGTGTGTGTTGGAGAGGGACAGACAGAGTCATGTGTGAGGTAACATTGAAGGAGCGCAGAACATGCATTTTGTGCAATAATGCCCGCAGCCCTGCATTGCTTTCGATCATTGAGATAGGCTGGAACTTATAAGCCTTTGAGTTTGCGCAAACCATTTTTTGGATCAAGGAAAATGAACTTAGGCTGGCATCACATTCACCCACGGTCACCACAACGGTAAACGGCCATCAGTTTGCAGACCAAGTTGGGCGGCGAGTTGTTCAATGTTTTTCAGCTCATGTACATTCATATTTCCAGATGAGCAGCTACTAGGAACAAGGACGCTACTAGGGGCTCCTGGCATCGCTACTAGTAGCAAGGACGCTACCAGGGGCTCCTGGCCTTACTACTAGGAACAAGGACGCTATGACGTGCAAGCAAGCGCAGTGCCAAGGTGATTGGGCCCATGACTGGTCTTTTTGGCCGCGCTGCTGGCACAACAACGAAAGCGCGGGTGAATGTTCACTCTCGGTGCTCATGTTGTATTGTCTTGAAAGACCCTACTGCTTGACAGATCTCATCACCTGCAGGCTGATGGATGTGGTGGGCCACTGCTGAGAGCCGGGCTCCATGAAACTGACTCTGTGCTGGTTTGGATCGGGTGATTTGCAGGTAAAGCTGGTGACTTGCCAGGACTCTGATTTCTTTTGTGCAAAGGCAATTGCAGGGTGTTTCAAGAAATCAGAGCTGCCAGGATGGCCAGATATTGGCTCTGAGCTTCTCACAAGGTCTCGCAGATGTGGAAGCCATGGGTTCACCCTGCCTATTGAGGGCAGTTGAGAATCGTTGATTATCTCCTTGAGTTGCCAGGTCTTTTCTTGCAAGCTTGGAGCAAGTATCACTGTGGAGAGGACTTGTTGAATTCACGCCAATACAAAACCATGGCGAACCTTTTGCGTTTTTTGAGCACCACACTGCCCACAACTTGGACCATCAGAGATATGATACGTATACGATTGGTTCCCGTGGCATTAGGGCCAGTAGGGAGATACTTTGGTCTTGCCCTATGAAGGAACCATGCTACAGTTCCCATGATGCTCGTATTGCATTGGATGGTGCCGTCAGCAACGCGCCTTGGCTAGCATAAAGCATGGTGCTCCTTCAGCCTTCAGCATTCTTCATCCAAGGGATTTCCAAAGCTGGATCCATCCTTCACCTACCTTCATCGACGGGAACTTACCACAAGAGTCATGAGCCTCAGTGGCTGTGCGGATTGTTTAATGCGCCTCACGAAGCAAGCAGTGTTTGTTTCTAAAATATTTGTTAGGAGTCAAGCGCTGCTACAGCTGCAGCTGCAGCAGCCGAAAGACTTGGTGCCGATGCCCCTGCTGGAAAATGTTTGGAATAGTCAATATAGTGGTATTCTTTGTGGCCATAATTCAATATGTTACTGTATTTATTCAATCCAATCGTCGATCGTCATTTTCTTTGGAGGGTTTCTTTGAAGATTGTCCGTTCAGTCCCGTTCCTTTGAGGTTGCAACGTTTCTCCTAAAGTGGGAGGAGTTGTCATCCCAGTATGTCCCAATGCCAAAGAGTTTGTTTGAAGATAGCTGGCCTTTTGAAGCTGTGAAATGTTGCGAAGATGTGAGGCTGAATGGCCTAGCAGACAGCTTCTCACAGCAGCTTAGAGGCCCGCAAACTGATACAAGACTGTTGAAGTCAAAATGCTTTCATGACCTCAATATTGTAGGCCGTCGTTTGATCTACGACTCAGAAAGACTCTCGTACGACGAGGCATGCTTGAGCCCATGTTGATGCCACAAGTTGGAAAAATGCAGCTCCAGCCCAGGTCGCGTTTGCTCTTGTCGCCGAGCCCTTGGTCATTGTCATGATTGATGAAGACCGACACCGTTGTCTTGTCTGCAGGTCGAATCGCTGGGTAGGGCAGTTTGTGCCAGTGTTTGGCGCTGCTCTCAGCTGAAAGTTCCTTTCACACAACAGAGGTTAAGGAATGGATGTCCACCGAGTCCCCGCAGAATTTGTTGGGAATTGAAATTTATCATGGCAACTGTACAAGCAACGGCGGAGGACAATACTGCTTACACATTCCATGTTTAGGATCTGCGGGTACATGGCTGAGCGTGTCGCCTACTTCCATGTCAAAAAATCAAAGTTGACGCACGAACAGGCCGGGCTAAAAGATCTAAAAGTTATTCATGGTTTCAATATACAGAAAGCCTCACCACTCATAGCCCATCAGTCAGCTAATGATGCCAGAGCCAGCTTTGCAGTGCGCGCGTGCCTCACAAATCGGCTCGGTTTGGCTAGTGCTTGCATCAGGAACCCTTGCAAATGTAAGGAGATCCTTGCTTCATGTGTCCATTTGCTTGCGTGTCTTAGTGTATCAGTGCAATCCTTCTGGCTGAGATCATTGTCGCGTTGCAATTTATATTGGTGTTCGAGTTAGCGGTTGTTTTCCTCAGGTATTGGGCAAACCTTAGGATTGAGGTGACCGACGATTAGTTTTCAACAACAGACATTAGTACTGCATCATGGCTGTAGCTCATTGGTGGACCCCAAAGTTGTGCTCCAGAAGATGAGTTTGTTGGCTGCATATGTTACTGCAATGTCCACATTTGACATAATCCTTAGTATGGCTGAGGTTACTAATTTGTGTTGTGAACTTATTGGTGTCAAAGGGAATGTAGCATGGTACAGTAGTACATCTTGTGCTTGGACAAAGTATATGAGTCATGAGGTTCGATTGAGTCTGTTTGCAGCTCATTGAAGTTCAAGATTGAAGTTGTCGCTATTGAAAGTTAGGAAGACTTTGCTCACCCCTTGCTCGCCCTTTCGGTTGACAGTTCTGCTTCATTTTAAATGAGATTGCTGGACTTGGCAAAGACTTCGTAGCGTCCCAACTCACCACACACGACTCACATGACCACATCATCACGGCACAGGGCAACCAAGAGAGGTTTAACGCTCTTCCAACTTTCTACTTCCCTAAGGTTGGGGATCGGGGTTGGGGACTCCTTGCTGCTGGGCAGCGTCTTGGGACAGCTTCGTTCCAGAACCGGCATTCCTGGCACCTGCTACACTTTGAGCTGGAATGCAGATGAGTGCTTCCAAGTGGTGAAAGATAGTGTGCAGCAAGTCAAGCCAATTTAAGCACTCAAAATGAGTCTTATGTGAGGGAGAATGTGTGGATGACATGCCATGACAGGCCCGGCCCAATCAATTCTTTGTAGAGTTGCTAGCAGTAGGATTTTGCATAGACAGTGGCCTGACGCTCGAACAACCTGTCAAACCATGTCAAACCAAACCCCAGAAGACCCCATTTGGCACAGGGTTCAACACAGAAGAACAAAGTGCTGAGAATCAACAATTTGTGTGTTGTAGATTTGGAACGCATTTGGCAAGAGGGGCTTCTTTCATTGGAAAGCTGGTGAAAGGATGGTGTTTGTATATACAACAGTGTGGATGTGGTAGCTGGGGAGTAGGGAGAGGACAGAACCGGTCAAGCCATAGACAAAGGCTGGACTATGGCTTGACTTTTGGCTACGACCGCCTCTTTGGACATGCTCCGACCTTAGACACCAAGATTCGTCAACTAGTAGCGTCCTTGCTCCTAGTAGCAATGCCCTTTGTTTCTAATAGCTTCTTGTTACTACTAGTAAGGCACTTCTTACTAGAAGCGATGCCAGGAGCCTCTAGTAGCTTCCTTGCTCCTAGTAGCGATGCCCTGTGCTCCTAGTAGCTTTTTGTTTCTAGTAGCGATGCCAGGAGCCTCTAGTAGCGTCCTTGCTCCTAGTAGCGATGCCCTGTGCTCCTAGTATCTTTTTGTTTCTAGTAGCGATGCCAGGAGCCTCTAGTAGCGTCCTTGCTCCTAGTAGCGATGTTCTGTGCTCCTAGTAGTTTTTTGTTTCTAGTAGCGATGCCAGGAGCCTCTAGTAGCGTCCTTGC